AGAAAGAAGACGAAGAAGAACAAAGGACGAAGAAGAAGAAGAAGAAGAAGAAGAAGAAGAAAAAGTAGAAGAAGAAGACGAAAGGACGAAGAAGAAGAAGCCGGGATGACACGTGGCGTTCGCGGCCACGTGGCAGCAGCAGCGCCAGAAGAAGAAGAAGAAGAAGAAGAAGGAAAAAAAAAAATGGAAAGAACGACTCTCTCTCTCTCTCTCTCTCTCTCTCTCTCTCTCTCTCTCTCTCTCACACACACACACACACACACACACACACACACGTGGCCTGTCTTGATTCGCGTTCGTCTATCCCAATGCACCGGGATCCCACGTGGCTTTCGCTGCCACATGGCAGCGGCAGCAGTAGATGAAAAAAAAAACGATCCTCTCTCTCTCTCTATCTATCTATCTATCTCTCTCTCTCTCTCGCTCGTTCATAGGAAGTAGTTAGAAGTAGGAGAAACAAGACGAGGAAGAAGAAGAAGAAGAAGAAGAAGAAGTAGAAGAAGATGAAGAAAGGAAGAGCAAGAAGAAGAAACGAAAAAAAAGAAAGAACGACGCTCTCTCTCTCTCTCTCTCTCGGAAGTGGTAAGCTTGGGTGAGAAGAAGAAGAAGAAGAAGGAGAGGAAGAAGAAGAGAAAAGGAAGAAGAAGAAGAAGAAGGGAAGAAGAAGAAGAAGAAGAAGAAGAAGAAGAAGAAGAAGAAGAAGAAGAAGAGATGGGCACTTACCTCCGCGACGGGCGACGCGCAACGGGAGCTGCTGGCGACGGCCACGGGCGACAACGAAAACGAGGAGGACGGCGACGGGAGCTGCCACGGGCGACGACGACGACGAGGAGGCGACGATGGGAGGTGCCACGAGCGACGACGGCGACGGGCAACTCGAAGTGGCCGAGGGACGGCACACTAGGCGGGAAACCGAGGAGGACTGCCCTCCCTCCAAGTTTGAAAACGGCGGCCTCATCTGGGCCGCCGATCTGCCTCGATCAGCGGTCCGGAGAGGCCGCCGTTTTGGATGCACATAGGCGGGCCTGCGGTACTGTTCAATTTTTTTTTTGGGCCAGGAGGCCCCCACAACCCGTGTGGGGGCCTCCTGGCCCAAAAAAAAAATCGTTTCGGCCTGTTTCCTGCGATGCGCTGTAGGCCGGGGGCAACCGGACCGGTCGACCGGCCGGTCCCACCGGCCCGGTTCCGGTTCGGGGTGGACCCCCCCGGTAGGACCGGGTATGTAGCACTGTAAAAAACTGAATTGCGCCAAAGACAGAATGCCGAAGGAATCTTTTTTTTTTTTTTGGAATTGGCAGTTATGTAAAAAATCGTGAACTGGGGACTAATTAGGGTAACCTAATCAATCAATCAATCAATCAATCAATCAATCAATCGATCTGAATCAACCAATCAGTCAATCAACCAATCACTCACTCACTCACTCACTCACTCACTCACTCACTCACTCAATCAATCAATCAATCGATTGATCGTCCCTGTGTGTGTCAGATCAGGTTAAATGTCCTGATTCACGTGCGGGGCTCCGATACCAACTGATACATGCCCAGTTGGGCAATGTATATGGAGCCAAGGATCTGCAGAGTGATGAAGAGGACTAGAATGGACAATCCAATGTCAGCAAAGCATCAACAAGCAATGTACATCCCGATACATACAAAATAGCACAATGTAGCGCAGTGCAAGACTCAAAGATATGACCTGACCAACCTGGTACTGACACGACATCCCATCATACACCACACATGTGAGAGAGGGAGGAGGACCGCATACACAGAAGAAAGGCCCCTCCTTGCACACGCACATGGGGGGAGATACCACGGATGAGATAGCGAGGTCCAAAATAGTCCCTTGCCGGATGTTCAATTGATGTCTGCCACAAAAATGTCGGATCAGATCCTGGGCAAAATACCAGATGTAACCTCTGCCTGTAATCTCTCTCTCTGAAGAAGAAGAAGAAGAAGAAGAAGAAGAAGAAGAAGAAGAGAAGAAGAAGAAGAAGAAGAAGAAGAAGAAGAAGAAGAAGAAGAAGAAGAAGAAGGTGGGAGGGAGGAGAGATGGAGACGATGGCGAAGAAGAAGATGCCGTCCTCCTCTCGTCCTCACCTGCAGGTAACTGCCGCCTGGACTGACCGTCATTGTCATCGTCATTTGCAGGTTGCCGCGCGGAGTCCCAGCTATGGCGCCAGGTAAGTCCACCGCTGCACGTACGGCCTTCGCCCCTACCTACGCCTCTACCTCTACCGTAGCGCTGTAGTCCCAGCGCTGCCCCAGCAGCATGTCGCCCAAGAAGTGAGCTACTCGAACTGTGTGTGAGCCCAGCTGTAGCCCAGCTATAAGTAATGCTGGGCCGACTGGGCGTGCCTCCTGCATTGACCTGAAACGGCCCACACGGTCTGGGCCCCTACCGGGTGTCCAGACCGCCCTGCTGATGCAGCAGGGCGCCAAAACGCGCCGGGCCTCGAACGACCCTGCCTCCTGGTGTACCCAGCTCAAGACGTAGCTTTGGGGACTGCAAGTCTGAAACGACGTCTGAACATACAAAAATAGGACAGCAACAAATAAATAAATAAACGAATGCTGTCGCAAATCCATACCTGCGGCCTAAGGGCCGCCGCGGGCCTCCAGGGCGCGTGTCTGAGGGGCACGCGGCCAGGGGGCCCCTCAGCAACCGTCGGGCCCCTGAAATGGGCCCGGTTTGCAGGCGCAGCATGTAACACACACACACACACACACAGAGAGAGAGAGAGAGAGAGAGAGAGAGAGAGAGAGAGAGAGAGAGAGAGAGAGAGAGAGAGAGAGAG